CCTATTCCTGGCCCTGTTGGCAAGGAATGGGAGGGTTACCTCTATCCTCCCTCCTCCTCTCCTGTTCCTGGCCCTGTTGGCAAGGACTGGGGGGGGGGGGGCTACCCTCCCTCCTCCTGCCCTCCCAACAGGGCAAGGAGGGAGTGGGAGGGTGATGAGAGGCTTCTACTTCTGCCCCCACAAGAAAGGGGGCAGAGCACGTTGGCCAGCCTCTTCTGGCCCTGTGGGAGCTACGGCCCCAGAGGACTAGGAGGGGCATGGGTCACGTTGACACCGCCTCTGGCCTCTCCTGGTCCCTTCGGGGCCGGGAGGGGCCTGAGTTACGGTAGGAGTCCTCTTCGGCTCGGCTCGGCCCCTCTCCCCTCTGCCTCGGCCTCTCTTGGTCCTTCGTGGCCATGGGGGGCCGAGTTGCGTTAGGTCTTTATCTCCGTTCCTGTCCCCGTCCCTCAAGGAGGGTCTCAATCAATCTCTGGGCGCTGTCCGAGGGGTTGAGTGAGATCTTACCCTTCTCTTTGACTTTTTCTTTGTCTTTTGTCTCCACGCATGTATATGGATGGGTTTTGAACACCGACAAGACCAGTTTGTAAGTAAATCTCTCTTATGCTTGTAAATTATTTTTATTGAGGTCCGGTGTAGTTAACGAAACGCCTGCCGCCCGCAATGGACCAGAATGATATTCTTCGATAGTGCATGTAGCACCAGTAGTTTCCGCCCTAAATTCCCCCAGTGATGGTTTTGCCGGTTTCCTCCCGGCCGATATAGAAGCCATATCCATATTCTGCAAATCTAGGACCAACACCCCCCGCTTTTCTTAGTCGACTGAGTAATAACCTTAGGTCGCGAGCCATCCGTGAATGCTTCTGAACTGACCAGAGCAATACATAAATACCTCAGCAATACCTTGAAGCCGAATCAATCGTTATGTATGGGCCCAAACTAGCTTTTATGCCCAGACATTATTGACAATATGCGCCCTATTCCATTGGAGTCATGTACTATCACTCGGTACACCTACCCAAGCGACACGGTCTGGGATTAATTTCGTACCTTGTCTCATGAGGACCGAAGCTCCAACATTGAAGGGAAAGCTCAGAAGATAATGGCCGGTAATATGCGGAGTGATTATAAGAGGGGGGGAATTAGATAAATATATCAAAAAGGAAATAATACTGATATTGGACAAGAGAGGGAGAGAACGGCACTGAGAACGAAAGTTTAATGAGGAGACAGTATTGTATCGATATATATTAATAACGTTTCTACAAGCTACCCTGCTGAAAAACCAAAGGTAGAAGATTCGAATATAATGTAGTTAAGCCATGATGATCCTATAAATGAATTATCAGCCATGACCCTATACACTTTAGATTGATCTTTAAACAAGGTCGAGGGATGACTGAACTAAGACCGATGAATTAGATACTACCACTCTCCGCGCGTGTGACGAAACCCACCGATAGCAATGTCTCCAACAAGCTCGTGGCCGATCGATGGCTTTGGGCAAACACACACAGGTTTCCTCTCCACTATACCCTCAAAAATAGTCCCTTACTATCCAGATCTCTGAGAGGATTATGAGGATAAAGGGGCGAATGTGGTGGATATGGTGTGTTGATTAAGATACATCAGCATATATAGTCTCGTTCCCAGAACCGTACCGTTTTTTGCCAGGTGGTCGTGGACTATTTCGCGCCGGCACAGTCTGGAAAAAAGTTTGTACCGGACCTTTTTAGGGCTCGATTGCTATGCTAGAAAGCCCGCCGGGTGATCGAGAAGCCCGGCCGGTCGCTCTGCCAAAAGAACACCGACCGTCATGAAAAAGCCTGTCCGGCATGTTCTCGGACGACGCACGGGCAATTAATGAATTAAACAAAAAAAAAAAAAAGACGACGCACGGGCAAAGTTGTTGCTCCAGACCCTACTGGTGTATAAATTAACCGCAACCCGAAAACACTATAACATAGGGTCTAGTAAGGAGACAAACATCAGCACCATTCATTACGCATGTAAAGAGATGGGGTAGACACTAGGCCCTATCTCACAAACATATCAATTGCCCGTAAAGACACGCTCTTCGTTTTCCACTGTGGTCAAAGTGTCTAAACCTATCTCCTAGAATTGACGTGGACTCCGGGGCCCGCATGTGCTGGATTTTTTGAAGAGGAGACGGAGGTTGCTCTCATGTATGGGCTGAGGAGATCTCCGGGTTTCTGATTGTGAGCATAGATGTTGTTCGACTGCGCCGGCCGAAACCGGTGGTTGAAGATATTGCATGTGGATAGTATACGTGTCGGCAGATCGGTCTGGAGGAGAGGTTTCTAGGTTGAGAAGGAGCGAGGTAGATGCATGTAGCGTTAATGGTGTTGAATATGGTTAGTTATCGCGGTGGTGGATGTTATTAACAATTGCATTGTTAGACGTTTATTATGTAGTTTGGACGTTGTTCTAAACTATCTGTACTTTTGTATTATAGGTAGTTTGGCCTCTAAATTGTGACTGTAAAGAGAGCGCTTTGGCTTTCTCTCCTTTGTTTTTACTCATCAGTTCATACAATACATTCTCTACGTTCTCGGTTCTTCGCTTTGCTTTACAAAGGTCATCTCTGGAAACAAATAGGTCCTCTATCAGTCGGCTATGTAGTTCGTCAAGCGAGTTTGTGGTGATGTCTGGTTCTCATCAGATTAAAGGCCGGCCCTGCATAAATGCCGATAAACCACCGCGGCTGCTCTTATAAATAGGACATTGCGGGGACCTACACACCCCTAACCCTTGGTAGTACTTGTCACAACAGAGGAGGCTAGCCTACTTAGGTGCATGCTGTTATGGGATCACCGTTTGTTGGCATTATGATAGGTATGGCCATTAGACTGAGAAGAGCGAGAGTTCTCCTCTTCTCATCCTTACATTATCGGTGCAAATCTTGTTCACTACAGTACTTCATCTTCTTGCAGACGTTGAAGAGCAACAGACCACAAAACGAACGAAGACCAAATCGAACGAAGGCCAAATCCATACTCTCATTTATAGCGAGCCACATAGGATGAGATGTTACTACATGTAATATTCTCATAGTGTTGTTGGCCCGAGCTTAAAAAGCGCATATCACTACCACCCCACTAGACCACCCGGGCTAGTCCGATCAGACTAGCCAACCCACTCCCCACTCCTAGCCTCCCATATCACAGACTATCACTCACACGCCCCACGCCCCCCGCGCCCCGCGAGTGACAGCCCATGACCCCGACAGCACTCCGATATGAAACGCGGGAGGCTTGGCGACTCTAATCCTGTACCACCCCACAAGGCGAGGATGTTTTTTCGTTTACAGAAGCTGCAGCAGAGGCCTGTTTGGGTAGGTATAACCTTGATTGTGGCAGGCCTAACAAGATTGGACGGTGCTAGCTGGATGGATAGCTAGCAGGTTGGAGACCGATACCGGGAGAGTGAAAATAGAATAGCAGCAGAGAGATTGTGGGGCGGCCGCCGCTCGCGATAAGCTTGGAGAGGGGGGTTACGGCGTTACGGAGTAGTTAGGGTTCGTTCCATGATGGAGGGTTTCGGTGTTCCCTCATCAATTGATTTGGCGCTGTGCTGCTAGCTACTTACTTGTTGACTGAGGGACTGGACGCCAGGGTGTCTTAGTAAGAGCGAGAATTTTGAATCCATTGTCTTTTTTGTGCCCGTATGTCTCCGCCTCGCTCACTCTCGCGAGCGAGCGAGGCAGGGCAGGGTAGGGTATAGTTTGTAAACTTAAACCTACCGCGCGCTGCAGGGATCATTTCCCCAACCAAAACAAAGCAATAGTATGCAGCCGTAGCAACAGCAGCAGTTCGGCGGGTTCTGTGGGTAGCTAGTTTACGATGCATGAATGAGGATGCTGCTGCTACTGCTGCGCAGGGCACAGCAGCAGCAGCGGATGGAGACGCTCAAAAAGCAACAAGTGACTGTCATAGTATATGTAACAGTAACAGAGTAAAGAAAAAGAAGAATGTGAATCATGGCATGGTTGAATGAGGGTGCTGAAACGACCGAATCCCCCTGGTTTCAAAACCGACCGATCCGTTTCGGCTCGGGAAGGCGGGGTTGCGGGGAGGGGCTTGCGTAGTAGTCGCGGGTTGCGGCGGGTTAGGATGTGCGAAACCGAGTGCGAAGGAATATGTAGATGGCATGTTGTGGTTACATCTCTACTTTGGACAATGGAGACGGGTACAGGAGGTGGTGATGAGGTAGATTACTACTTAGTATAGTAGCAGACGTTTTTTGCTTTTCATTAAACATCACTCGAAGTGAAGCGATGGAGGTTTAGTGGAGGGTGGTGGTTGCATCAGGTTGGCTGGCAGGTTGGTTGGCAGCAACCCCCATCCCCAGCAGGTACATGGCAAGCAGGCAGGCTGCAAAGAAGGAATGCCCTAGATCGACTAAAAATGGGCTGTGTGTGGTGCACCACTAACTTAGGTCTACACGGGCACCGCGGTGGTGGTGGTGGTGGTGGTGGTGGTGACTAGACTAGAGTAGATTTCTGCCCCAAGACACTTTACTGCATACAATCCCTCTTTGAACCCGTCCCCACACAAAGCAGCAAGCAGCAAGCAGCAAGCAGCAAGCAAGCACCGTTGCTAAGTAGGAACACGTATGTGTTGTTGCCAACGCATTCATAAAACCAATTCTGCTCAGCTCTGGCAACCAATTTCGCTTTCAACCTAACAAATCACAGCCAATAACTGGAGATGATGCGATGTCATGCACAGTACCCCATCCATCCGTCCATCCTTCATCGCAGGAGTAGTCAGCACGGTGGCGGCTCCCAAGGGGGGGGGGTCTCTTCGAGTAGATACATAGATAGGTAGTTGCTTGCTGCTCTCTTTCGATGCTTGTTTGTTGCAAGGTTGCAGAACAGAACGGAACAGAACAGGACAGAAAAATTTACAGATCAAACCCCCCCCCCCCCCCCCTCGAGAAACCCAGGCAAGCAAGAAAGAAAGAGAGAGAAAAAAAACAAGATGAATTCAGATTCAGATGAAAGCTCCTATGAGGACGACTCGCCACCCAACTTTGCCTTTTCACCCGACTTCAGTGTCCGTGCCTCACCAATCGTCAATGGTGGTGGTGGGCGTGGGAAGCGAAAAGTAGGCCTCCCGTCGCGATACCACCAGGTTCTGTCGGCACGGGGATCAGGTGGAGGGGGCTGTTTGGACGCTGCTGGGGAGATATATTCGGAGCACCCGCGAAAGAGGAGAAAGGGGCCGCAAACCAACACCCCCGACAACTCGACGTCGACGTCGTCGTCGTCCGATCGCTCGTTTGCGTGCCCGTACTACAAGAACGATCCGGTAAAACACTCGAGTTGTGCCGAGTGGAATAAGAAGGATATCCACAGGGTCAAGTATGTTCATGTTCTTGCTCCGCTCGCGGGCCTTGTTTCAAAAAGCCTTTACTGCACAATGAATGCTAACATGCAACTCACCGCCAATTGAAGGGAGCACATCAAGAGATCGCATCTGAAGCCTATCCAATGCCCGCGATGCAGCGTCTACCGCGCCGGCGATAACGGACAAATCAACATCCATCTACGGGACGGGGAATGCCAGAAAGCAAAGACCGTCTCCCTGGTGGAGAGCGACGTCCTGAAGAAGGCAAAAGCACTCGAGCGGAGGAACTTGAACTGGCAGCACATCTACCAGATACTGTTTGGCTGTGCCGAGAGCGATATACCATCTCCCAGTAAGGAACCTCACTCAACTTCCCTTCCTCCTCCTCCTCCTCCTCCCCACCCCGCTCCCTCCCCACAAAGGATACAAGACTGAGTTCAAGAAGTTTGGCAGAGCCACATCACACCACCGACACCTCCAACAATAAAGCTTGAGTCATCACCACTGCTGGGTGCCTACTGCACCGACATGTTTGAGGCTCACTTGAATGAAGAATTGAACGACTTTATAGAATACTTCCAGGAGCAGGTCCCCAGACTTGTGCGGGAGTTATTTCGTGAGTACCAGGCCTTGAAGTTCAAAGCCGAGTGTCCCTTGTCTGGCGGGGGTACCGGCTCTGTGTGCAACCAATCGAGCGCCCCTCCTTATCCCGGCGCTTCCGCAACACATCACAACAACAACATAAACATCAACACTACAGACTATGAGCAGGGTCCCCGCAAACCAAAGACAGTAGCAAAAAACAGCCCCAAGGAGCAAAGAAGGACCGAAGAGGCCGCCCGGAAGCCGACCGAGAATGTCGTCCGGAAAAAGCAAAATGCCTGCCCGGATGTGGCATCATCACCAAAACAACGCCCGGATGCTAGGAAGATTGCAACCGACGAAAAACAAACGCAGCGGGGGGACCTACTGAGCAAGGCCGACGAAGCTGGCCAGAAGAGACACACGCCTGTCTCGCCTCTTACTCCTTCAACCCACCAGCAGCAGCAGCAGCAGCCTAACATTACCAACCCCACTACCCCGCAGGAGAAGGTGTTTGCCAATAGAAACGAGGCTCCCAGAATGCACGATATTCCATCCCCGTACATACAACTCCAGCACAATACCCTGAACCAGAGCTTTGCATCATTACACGACGGCACCAGTAGAGGCATTATTCCAGATCACGCTGCCAGAATACTTCACGAACCTCGGGTCACAGACGACAACAGCTCACCTGTAGTCGGGTTCGGGGACCTTGCGCTGAACAATGCCAGAGACGATGCGAGCGGCGAGGTAGAAGAGGTTGGGAGCTGTGATCCGGCGATGCTGTGGGTGCTGGATGCTTACGATTGGAGGTTTTGAGAAGATTGCTTTGCGGGCATAGTAGCTTTTCTCTGTTTGAGGGTTGTTCGGTTTTTTCTTTTCTTTTTTTTCGGTCGGGGCGGAGTACTACTTTTAAATCTTTTGGTTTTTATATGATCCATGGCCATGATATCCTGCGATGTTTTTTTCTTCTTTTTTTGCTTTCGGTTGTTTCTTTTACGATGATGATTAAGCTTTGAATATTGGCTTTGTGTTTATACCTGTATATAATCGGCCCCCCCCCCCCCCAGCGCGGGCCAAACGATTCCCACCCCAATCATTTTTTTTTGCCGTTTTTTTGTTTGGTGTGTGGTGTGTGGTATGTGGATACATCTTTCAAAAGCTTAGCGATGGTTTTTCTTCTGTTTTTCTTTTTTTCTCAGGTTATGTTGGAGTGCTGTCCCATTGTTTTGATACATTTCCTCATTTTTTTTTTTTGCCAGCGTTGCTTTTTTTTTTTTTTTTTTTTTTTTTTTGGCTTTGTTGTTTTCGGGGACTTGTTTTTATAGCGCAGCGCAAATAAACACGACGATATGAGACCAGACACGTACATAACTGCCCCGGTGTCAGTCAGTCACGGGACCACCACGCCACACGGGATGGATCTGGGCCCTGGGCGGAGGGATGATTGGGTGCACAACAACGATACAGAATGTAAAACAAGCAGCCTGTCTGTCTGACAAGTCGGACCGGGCGTCGAGTGATCGCTGGTGATGGTTGGCAACTGGGCCGCCCCCATGGATGGGTGATGCAGGCCGCCACAAGCGGACTGCGCGTGTCTGGCACTGGGTTAGGGAACCATTGTGGGTTGCGGGTTGCGGGTTGTTGTCTGTTGCCCTGGATGGCCAATTAATTGGTGGGTGGTGCCGGCCCTGATGATCATGATGGTACAGACCGACGGATTGCGGGGGGGGGGGGAGGGCGGTAGTATATATACCCACGCGTGCTGAGCAGAGCAGAACTCGGCTCCCACAATAGTCCCGTGACGTGTCAGCAATTGCAGTGTGTGCTCGAGCACAAATGTGGGCTCTTATCTGGAGGAGGAGGAATGTGGTTGGAAGCCATTGACATTGGGGGAGATGGAGGAATATGGTTGGGGGGGCCATTGACGGTCAGAGAGAGATGTGGTTGGAAGCAGTGAAGGAGGTTGGGCTGCGGGTTGTGGGGGGGTTGCCGTTGCCATTGGGTTTCCATTGCCGTTGCCGTTGCCGTTGGGTGGAAGATGGGGAGGCCGGGCGTGTCTGTACTGTCTATCGTTCCGCAAGCGCAGCCTACCAACTACCACCAAAGCCGATTGAGGCTAGTGTGGTGGTGGTGGTGGTGGTGGTGGCTACTATTATTACTATTACTACTACTACTACTACTACTACTACTGGCTATAGCTACTATTTGGTACCGCATTGGGACACACGGTGCCCTTATCGTCCGGGTGGTTTCTGACTTGCATATTATTTACATTTGGGGGGGGGGGGGGGGGGGTGTTCTAATTAGCAGGACGATTAGCTGTCAATCAGTCCCGTCCCGCACCGTAGATCCCGACCGCGCGCGATCCCGTTTTTTTTTTTCCTGCACCGACCACCACAGCTCTGCACTTCCCTATCTCATCTCATCCCACCACTGGCCGGTCGCAGTAGCGAACAAAAAGCAGACCACCACCCACCCACCCTCCCACCTCTCTCCGACCTGCTGTGGTCTTGGCGGAGCATAGATGAGTAAGCATGCCGAGTGATAGCTAGGGATGCGCATCCCTGTCTGCCGGCTTGAGCCTTGACGTCGCTGCGCTGCCTTGGCGGATGCATTACGGAAAACAGGATCTGGTGAACAGCACGCTCGCTGCTGTCCGGGACGGGTTTTCGGGCACAGTCGTTCACGAATACTGCCACTTGACGAACAGGGGGGCTTTGGGCCAATAGAAATTAAAAGGACTGGACATCTCGCAGCTTGCCATACTTGGAATCCCTGTTCGTCAAGCGGCAGTATTCGTCAAGAGACGGTGAACGACTGTACGTACGGTGCTAAACGCGGTTACGTTCAGGATATGTGTTAATTTGGAGGCCCGATAAGTTACCGATTAATTCCTTCCTCCCATCCTCCAATCATCCGAGAGCAGCAAAAGAGCCCGAGCGGTAGCGCATGGAGTTATCGGCTTTTACTGAACCGGGGGTGGGTATCATAGGTATCATATGCGCAGGATGGCATGCATGACATCATCGCCGTTGCATCCGTGATAAGACGGCGTGCAGAGAAGGAAGTTGGAGCTGGATCAGGAAGCTGGATCGGGGGGAGTTGGAGTTGGTGAGTGAGCACATAACAAGATCTGGGGTGTCTTTATTGACCTCACTGCACCTCGCGACTCACTTCTGTCTCGATTTTTTTATTTTTTATTTTCGTTGTTCGATCTTATACCCATTTTCCTCTCTCTCTCTCTATACTCTTCTCTATATACTCTAGATCCATAGACACAAAATGCCCGGCCTCACCTTCCCCGACCCCGCCGTCCGCCCCGCCGCACAGCTCTACCCCTACGCCTCCGTCTCCGCCGAAGCGCACAAGCTCTCCGCCGAAGCCCAAGCCGAGTTCGACAAGGCGTCGAAAGCCGCCCAGCGCAAAGCCGGCCCCATCGAGCTCTACTCGCCCAAATTCTACGCCGCGTGCACGCTCGGCGGCCTCTTCGCCTGCGTACCTCCCCATCCCCATATATACAGCTATAGTATCCAGCGGTCTAACACTCCCGGCAACTAACAGGGCCTAACGCACGCCGCCGTCACCCCTCTCGACCTCATAAAGTGCCGGCGTCAAGTCAACTCCGCCCTCTACCCCTCCAACTGGCAAGCCTTCCTCACCATCACGCGCACCTCCGGGCTACGCGGCATCTTCACCGGCTGGTCGCCCACACTCTTCGGCTACAGCGCGCAGGGCGCGTTCAAATACGGCGGCTACGAGTTCTTCAAGAAGACGTACAGCGACGCGGCCGGCGAGGCTGCGGCGGCCAAGTACAAAACGGGGATATACCTTGCGGCCAGCGCGAGCGCCGAGTTCATCGCGGACGTGGCGCTGTGCCCGTGGGAGGCCGTCAAGGTGCGCATGCAGACGGAGGAGCGCAGCCCGTACCGCGGCGCCGTGCAGGGCGTGCGGAGCGTGGTGGCGGAGGAGGGGGTCGCGGGCCTGTACAAGGGGCTGTATCCGCTGTGGGGGAGGCAGATCCCTTGTGAGTTCTTCTTCTTTCCGCGCTGTGCGGGTGTGTGTGGGGTGGGTCGGTCGGTCGCTGACAGTATGTGTGTGTGTGTGTGTGTGTGATCAGACACAATGATGAAGTTCGCCTCGTTCGAGAAGGTGGTTGAGGCCATCTACACCAAGCTGCCGGGGCGCAAGGACGACTACGGCAAGGGCGCGCAGGCCGCCGTCGCCTTCACGGGCGGCTACATCGCCGGCATCCTGTGCGCCGTCGTGTCGCACCCGGCCGACGTCATGGTGAGCAAGCTCAACTCGGGCGGGCGCAAGCCCGGCGAGGCGTTTGGCGCGGCCGTGGGGAGGATGTATGGGCAGATTGGGTTCGCGGGGCTGTGGAACGGGCTGCCGATGAGGATCCTGATGGTCGGGACGCTGACGGGAATGCAGTGGCTGCTGTATGATGGGTTCAAGATCTTCTTTGGGCTGCCGACGACGGGGGGCGCAGAGGAGAAGCAGAAGAAGGAGTAGTGTAGATTCATAGTGTTTGTTCTGTTTTAGCTATGTAGAATTCAATGATTCCCTAGACGGGGCGGGGGCCAATTGAGCGTTCCCCCATCCGCCGTAGAGCCCGTCTTTCGTTGTGAAAACAGCAAAGCGATCCCCCACATGTGCACTTCCCACGCACTTCCCAGGCCAGGGCAAGGAGGGAGCAAGGAGGGGCCCGCCAAGCCAAGCCAAGCCAAGCCATCCGCACCTCACCTCACCTCGTCTCACACACACACACACAGCCACAGCCACTGCAACGCAACCACCCACCCACTCACTCACGATGGCATCAATGGCCGCGCCCGCACAGCCAGTACAAACAGACCCCCCCGCCCCCATAGACGCCAACAAATACCGCGGCGTCCGTCCCCCCCTCCCCCCTCCCCCCTCCCCCACCCCCCCCCGCTGCCCCGCCCAAGCTAACCACACACCCCGCGCACAGGCAACCGTCGAAGACCTCGACCTCCCCCCCGCCCTCTCCATCACGCCCACCACGCCCATCGCCACCGCCCTCGCAATGTGCTACGACCGCGACTACTCGCAGCTCACCGTGGTCTCCCCCAGCACGCGCGCCCTCCTCGGCTACCTGTCCGTTCCACGCCTCAAGGCGCTGCTCGCCTCGCCCGCCGCGGGCGTCAAGGAGACCGACACGGTCGACAAGGCCATGCACCGCTTTGATCGGCGCAAGGGAGTCAAGGTGTACAAGGTGATCACGCCGAGCACGGGGCTCGAGGAGCTCGAGGAGTTTCTGAGGGGGGAGGAGTTTGCGGTTGTGACGGATGCGGGGCGGAGGTTTGTGTTGGGCGTGGCGACGAGGGGGGATTTGGTGGAGTTTGTTAGGAGGAGGCCGGGGTAGGTGTGGGGAGGGGAGGGGAGGGGAGGGGAGTGTGAGAGGGAGAGGTGGGGGGGGAGGGATTTGGACTTGGGAGTGGGAGTGGGAGAAGAGGGCGGGGTGTTGTAGCTAATGATATCGAGAGCTTTCTAGATCTCTCTCTCTCTCTTAGACTTGGGCGTTCTGTAGTCTTTAGAGCTACACCTCTATGCATGCATTGGTCGTAGACTTCATAGCTCCCGTCACAGTCTTCGTAAAGCTTCCCCCCCCCCCAATCCCCAGTGCCCTATGCATTAGTCATTTTGCAGCGTAGACCGATATCCAAGCATCCAACCCCGCCGCCAAATAGAAACCACAAAGTAGGAAAAAAGCCTCCAATAGTAGCTACCCCTCCCCCCCCCCCCCCCCCCAATCCTTGCAACCTGTAGCTAGCGTAGTCGGGATCATAAAGTATCACTCGACACCAACATTCGCTCCGGGCCGATCGCGATTCATTGCCAATGGCTACCATTCATCACCCGACCGCTTCCCAGGAGTGAGTATATAGCTAGGAAATTTAAAAGGGGAAAGTCATACCGCCTCCCGCCCCGTTCTCGCCGTTGAATATGTAGGCCGCGACAGCTGGGTCGGATCACAAGGTCATCATGATCACTCGACACGAGGCGCCGATACATTTTGTGGACAGGCCTAGCGATAATGATGATGATGATGATGATGATGGAGGAGTGCATATATAAGCACGGGTAGCTGGTCTGTTTGGTATTGCGGGTAATGATGCGCGCGCGTGGGCGGTATGGCTGCGTCTGGATTGTATGATGTGGCTATTGTAAGGACAAGGTCAAGGCTAAGGCCACGGCCATTGCAAGGCTGGTACGTTAGAAGGGCCAAAGTGGGTATTCAAGTGGCTCGTTAGACTATAGGTGGGCGGTGCTAGATGCATGAAGTATCACTCGCACCTGTGTTTGCTTGGCACGTGCTTGGTACCGGTGTCGGTTTAGGGTATCTCTAGGAGGTATCTAATTTTTTGTGTGGGTAAAGTCGCCGGGAAATGGGGGATCGACTTATACAGACAAGGCGCGTCTATGGGGGAAAATGCATCGGGAAATGCATCGGGGGAGGAATCAGTAAATGCATCAGGAAACGAATCACTAGATGCATCGGTAAATGCATCAGGAAACGAACCACCAAATGTATCAGTAAATGCATGAGGAAACGAATCGGTAAATGTGCTTTAAGGGAAACAAGGCACATTTCCCCGAGAGAAAAAGAGTAAAAGAGTACGTCATGGATCGAACCTCTACATGTTATTGCACTAAGCTAGCTAGTATATATTCTCATCAACCTTGTTTCTTATCACCTACGCCATAATCACTTATAAACAAGTAGTATCCAACGGCTATATAGTCCTGATAGTAGTGTGCCAAGTAGTATGGGAAAGGCATCAGGAAAGTTGTATCTCGATGTAAAGGCATCGGGGATGCATTTCCCGACAAAATCCTGTGTTAATGCATCTTTTATGCCTTTTCGTGCCTTTCGTTGTGTGGGTAATGCATCAATTGATGCATTTCCACGCCTGGTAGAGTGTATAGTATCACTACTGGCGACATTGAGCTCTGGACGCATGCCAACCTTCTCTGCCACATTTCACGAAACTCAGTACTAGCAGTGCTATACATTACCCGCAGGATATTTCTAAGCATGTGCGTATGCATCCATAAATAATAGCATGCAGTGCGATGTATTGGGTGTACTGAAATTGGATATGTGGTTGTATAGGGTGCATCGTTTATTGGGGTTCCTGGGAATAAGCTAGTCGGGGGTGGTATGTAGAGGTTTTCGTGTTTGTTGCTAATTGATCATTGGCAACCTAGTAGCTACGAGTACATTGGTGTACTTGAAATGACCCACGCATATTTACAGAATCTACGAACGCAGAGAGCTAGAGCCCACAAGCCGGGTATAGGCTTCAGGCCTTAGACCAATCGGCACCCTTCCTTCAATTACCAATTCCTGTTGTTCTTTATTGGGGTGGTTGGTTGGCCATGGTACATGTATGCGTATGCATTGATGTGCATGCGCATATGCATATGTATATATTTCAACCTTAATTCTACATACCAAAACCTAACCCCGAACCTTCTATTTCTTAATTCCCTTTTACTAGGTATAGTACACTCGAACGGGTAGTAACGGAGTACAATAGAGAACGCTATATAATAAGCCATACCGCGTCCGGTCACGAGGGATTCGGGGTGTTGACCGTCTAGCCAATGATAGCGGAAACTACTGCATGTACTCTACTAGCGCAAAAAATGCATCACTCGACGCATTACCCATACAAACGGCACGCATAAATGCATCACTTGATGCATTTATCCGTCGTGGGCTCAGTAAACTCGTCCAAGTGATGTATTACCCAACGCCTTTACCGATGACTTACACCACTTTCCGTAGCAGTAGCTTGTACCTTCCCTTTGCGTCGCGCCCATTTGCTGTAGCCACTTTGCCGACGACTTTCTTGATGGATTTGCCTTAACCGCCCACAGCTAAAACGACATTACCAACGAGTATGCCAACGAGTATGCTGCCGCGCCAGTGTAACTCTTAATATTAGCCGCGCTGCATGCTCTACGACTTTACCAACGAGTTAGCCAACAACTTTGTACGGCGACTGTTGCCGCGCTGCGCCCTCTAGATTTGCCGCGCTTATACTACTGCGATCAAGTTTCTATGTGAACGACTTTACCGACTACTATGCCAACCACATTACTCACTGAGCCTTACTATGGGAACGACTTTACCGACGATTACCCTGACACTCGCATATTAGCGCCGAACGACATTCCCAACGACATTGCTGATCCATTAACAGTGGAGCGCGAACAGCTGTAACGATTTTGCCTACGAGTTTACCCAAACTCTGTCAGCGCTCTCTGGTATTCGGGAAACAACTTTGCCGACGAGTTTACCTACGACTTTACTGACGATTATGTCAACAACTAAACCAATCGATCCGTATATGTGCACGAACGATTATCCCGACGATTATACCGACGAGATTCCCCTCCGCTCTTTTGCAGAACAACATATTTGCCAACGACTTTGTTGATACATTTCCCGGTAGACTTCACCTACCATTCAAACTGTTGGCGTTATTTCAGGCACTTGTACGTTCGCGTTCTACATCAACGCAACGAATACACCTACGAATTTACCTACGAGTTGGTATACAATATTGCCAATACCACAAACCATCGACAACTTTACTGAGTATTATGCCGACAACATTACCGATACTTTATCCCCCAAACATTTCCACTGTCTACGAGTATCCTGATGCAATTGCCGACGATATCACCAACACATTTACCTTTCCCTCAATGACAGTAACGATTTTACTAATGCATTAATCAACGATATATCCAACGACTTTACCAAAACACTTTGCGTGAGTTACTACGGTCGACACATTTACATACACCATCACCAACAACATTACCTAGACGTGGATTTTCTTTTTGACAGAGTGAATGACTTTACCAACGACATTACTGATACATTGTTTTCTTCTTTCGATACAATGAACGACTTTACCGACAACATTACCAACATATTACCTTCACAGCTAATTCATATGCACGACTTTACCGACAACATTTCCTTTGCGGCTTAATGATATGAACGACTTTACCGACAATATTATCGACACATTTCCCAGCAGATTTTTACATTCAAAAAATTCAACTATCAATCGACGAGTTTCTGAATGATTAGGCCGACGACTTATCAACGAGTTTCCAATGAAACAAAAAGCCATAACGGTGGGGCGGTCACTTTACCGACAACTTTACCAACAACTTTACTGATGACTTTAATTATTCGCCTCTCTAACATTTCTTGTGTGGCAACCTCAACGATTAAGTCTACGATTTTGCCAACACATTTGCCGAAAACTTTATTATTTTTATTATTGCGAATACGCTGCTATTGTATGCTGCTGTCCTTGCTATCGCAACTAACTTTAAAAATCAAATCAAACTTTTTCGTAGGAACAATATTCCTGATCCCTTTACCGACAAATTTGATGACACATTTTCCAACAAATCCTGCACTACCTGCTTTAGTAAAACCCTTTTTAGCACACTTCAATGTTAGCAACCCTACAACTACATGTATTTAGCAACCACACCCAGTTATAATATTTTCCAACCGTCGTATACCCGATCCGGAATAGTCCCCAATATTAGTCACATATAAACCTCCAACCTGCATATACAACACTTGCGTATTGCCCATAACAACAAATCATCAATGTCTTCACATCTTGAACGGCGTCTCTGGAACTTGAACGACGCTTCCTCCATTATCGCCACGCCTATCCACTGCCGCAAGCCTCACCTTCTTCAGCGAACCACTTGGTCTTGCAGAAGGGCCCCTCTTTGCTGGAGTAATCTGCCCATCACCATCAGTAGCCGCAGCTTGGTTGATCAACATCTTTGCTCTCTGAAAGCTAGTGCTCGCCCTAGGCGGAGCCATCGACCGGGGTATCAGTTCTGGATGTCCAAGAATCTTGCGGTAGCTTGTCGGTTGAACATTATCATATGAATATAATTTGAGATTGGAGTTCAACTCATGCACCATATTTACAGGAACCTCAATGACCCCCTGACTGGCCATTGCTTGTGTAGCGCTCAAGGCTCCATTAAGATGGAGATGCCTGCTCCTCGATCCAAGTCTACGGATCGGCTGTGCATATGTAGATGCCGGCATCTGGTAACTCGGCGTGTCCCATGTCATGTGCGGAACCTGGGAGTTCTGGGGCACCATGGGCGAGAGCCTTCCAGCCTGCTTCCTAATTTTCAAAGAGCCCATGTAGCTATTCAGAGGAGGAGGCCCCATCCTACGAGGCGGGGTGGAAATGGGGTCAGCAAAAACATCGTCAAGACCCGTCAGCCGTGAAATGTCAAATCCATCCTCTCCCGCATAGTCCTGGGTTTGAGTAAACATCGTGGGCAGCACACGTGGTGGCGCAGTGCTTGTGAACGACACTAAATCGTTAGGCTGTGTGGGCATGAATGAAGACTGTGTCAAGCTCTGTGTCAACTCGGATGTCTGAGGCTGTCCACATGAGGGCATAGGCTCTGGTGCATTCTTTTGGGTGGCTACACGAAGCAGTGGCTGCCCACAAGATGGCGGCGGCACCTGTGAAGAGCTCATGTCCTGCCATGGACGAGCAGGCAACTGGGTACCATCATATTCACCGGCAGCCGCAGAGCTCTCCACCAATGGACTGGCAGCCGCAGAGCTACCAACCTCAGCTGATTGATCCCAGTTCATGACACCACTCATACTATCACTGATACGTGTCAGTACTGTCTGATAATATACGTGTTACCTTGAGTTGGAGGGGGATAAATACATCTCTTTCTGTATCGCATCTTGACTCCGACTTTTCTTTGCCTTCTCCCTATGTGCCTTCTCTTTAGGTGCCTTCTCTTTAGGTGCCTTCTCTTTAGGTGCCTTCTCTTTAGGTGCCTTCTCTTTAGCAGCCTTACGAACATATACTCTCTTGGGCTTCTCGGTCTCGGTCTTGTTCTTCGAGCCCATGGGCCTTCCACGTTTCCGTTTCTTTGGAGGTTCAGGCTCACCCTCACCTTCTTTGTCACCAATTACTGTCTCTGAACTCGTGACATTAGAGTCATTGATGTGTTGAGACTCCGTACGAGCTGCCCGTGTACGAGCGGCAGTAATATTCTCGACCTCTTTCTCTTTAGTCATAGAAGGATCAAAGCTAACCCTTCTAATGGTAGGTATCAGTGGAACTCTTGAGGCCGGTACTAATGGTTGTGGTTGCGGTTACGGTTGTGGTTGCGGTTGCGGTTGTGGTTGCGGTTGCGATGGTGGTGGTGGTGGTGGTGGTGGTGGTGGCTTTGAGTAGAAACTGGCATCGTCATCATCATCACAGTAGTCAGCATCAGAATGCTCCCACATAGTCGGGGCCTCGTCACTCTCCTTGACCTTGGTCAGGAACTTGCGGTATCGCTCTTCGTCATCCAACAGTATATCCTGTTTTCCCTGACCTGGGAAGCGGTACCATACATCCTTCCCCTTCCATCTCTTACGGAACTCTTCGTAGTCGAGTGAGAATTGGTAAGGGACGTGCTTTTTGTTCACCAGTACGAAGTAAATCTCAAGCGTCTTGAGGCCATAGGGAGCAGCAGTGGAAGATTTTGGAGGTGGCAACATCACTTGCTTTCTTGGTAAGTTCAGACGATGTACAAGGTGATATGTCGACGGGGGCAGCGGTGCGTCATCATCATCCATACGGGGAGCACCGATAGTCATAACATTGGCCGGAAGCCGCTCATATTGAGGTGCAACAGCAGGTTGAGCCACGGAAACTGCAGCTCCAACAGAGATAGGTGGCCTAGCTGACACCGGCACCCCCACCGAAAATGTTGTGTCCCCAGTCACTGTGTCCACGCTAATCGAGCTTTCAGCGGAGACATAAGAAGAAGCATCATCATCATCCTCTGCTGTAACTCGGTCCCGGCTCACTGGTTTCTTGTGGTGTGTGGTTGCTGCTGTTGCTGTAGCCCGCTGAGGGGCAACAGGTGCTTGTCCCTCCGGAGCAGCGGCAGCGGCAGGGGCAGACGCCCCGCCCGGCCCCACCACCTCCACAGGGACAGCAGGCAAACTATTGCTGGCTGCAGTCTTTGCTGATTTCCTCCTCCTGCCAACATAGTGGCCGGTTGAGGGGGGTCTTCCTTTTTTCACTGTACCGCCGGCATCAGTAATATCCTTATTTTTCTTTCTGTTAGAATTCCTTCTTTTATTGTTCGTAAGAGATATTATGATAGCTAGACACGTGTCATCTGAGTAGTTAAACTCAGAGAGAGCTTTCTTGACCTTATCAATCAATATCTGGCGTGTTGGTCTGGTCCTTACGGTGTTCCATGGAGATCCAATGATAAACTGCACAGGCTTTGTAGCTAGTGCAAGCGCTGCTATCCTCCTCCGTCTGTTGTATTTTGAACGTTCCGTTTTGACACTGTATGGGCCTAGCCCCATTTGCTCAATCAGCGGGAGTGTACTTGCACTAACCAGCAAATCCGCTATTGCTTGTTCATTGGGGAGAACAAAATCTCCAATTGCCGGCCCCTCGCCATCACTGCCCGGGCCGCTTGAATCGTCAACTAGTTTCTCCCCAAAGGACCTGTGTTTTTGCATTGGCTGCTTCTGCTTCTGCTGCTGCTTCTGCTGCTGCTTCTGCTGCTGCTTCTCCTTCCGCTCTCTCTCCTCTTTCTGCTCCGCCACACGCCTCTTATTCGCTCGTTCCTGCTGCCAAATCTTGAATTCTTCCATATCAAGCATTGTGTTTGGAGCCATAGGCTCCGAGATATCAGCCATTCTCTGCATCTGTACCATCATGTCCATCAGTATATAATCATCTACAATTTACATGTAGCTGCCTTGATGGAGATGCTCACCTTTGATAAATAGTATGATGTGATAGAGAAAAGAACAGATAGATCTTTCTACGATGGAATAGAGAGAAGATGTTTCTACGATGGAATGGAGAGAAGATGGAGAAGGACAGGTTTACTAGATGTTCGTACCTACCCCGCTCATGCAATTTGGCTCATCCGTAGATGTCAAACTGGCTTTTCACTCCGCCTATCGTGCATCCAAGATCTCATGTCTCGCCAATGTACCCCACCATCAATGTGTCATCTACTCTACATATTCACTTTATACTTATAATTTTTTTATACACATCAATTACGATTATGGCAGATGCAGAAGACTCAGCACCATGGGCACCGAGAGAGAGACGACTCTGCCACTGTGAGATGTACAGAGGAGTACCCCACCTTGTGACTAGGGCCGCCTGGTACAGACACAGGCAGCGGCAGGCATGGCTTGAGCGGCAAGCCACCCAGGAGGATATTCCAGCAGTAGAGTTGGATGGGGAAGTAGTAAGTACATGTGGTCAAGGTGCATTTTTTATCTACATAATTCTAATCTTATGCAGACAGGAACCCCCGTCTTTAATGATCAGGTACCTGCAATACAATACGTGTATAATATGGTAGCTCAACCCACAACTCGATTAACTCTGTTCTGGTTTAGGAAAACAACCAGGAGCCGGGAGAGGCTACACCAGTCTTTGAGGATGCCCTATCTAGAGAACCGTCACCTGTGTTTCACGACCCTGGACGTATAGATTCACCGGATGTTTTTGTACACTACAACCCACAGCCCCACCTCAGGCATGTGCAGCAGCAAATACAGGTTCATGCTTCTCAAGAGCACCAACCCGAGCAGTCACTGAGCCAGCAAACTGTTGTAGCAGAGTCGGTGGTTTCAGAGAGAGAAGATACAATCAGTACATTGAACAACAGCTTCCACCACCACTCCCCGGTTGGGCAAGAGGAGTGGCATATGCCTTTGGATGAGGAGGAGGCACCGCTGCTCCGTCAACGGACAGAATCGACTCTGTATGACCTAAACATGGCATACATCACCCCGGTTCCTACCAATAGGGCAGGCCAGAAGGAGAATGATAATCCTAGCTCCTCTAGTAGCAGCGAGTCTAGTGCACATGATATTCCTGATAACTCGCCGCTTCCATCCATTCGTGGGGATGTTGATGCTGATATAAATGCTGATAGAGATGACGACGTTGATGCACCCAGTGAGACTGAAAACGAGATTGACGAGCGTATGCCGAGCCCAAACTATTCCAATCCATACTATGAGGATGCTGAGGATGTCGATAATGTACCCAGCTCTGAGGATCCAGAGAGCAGCGGAGCAGAAGACGAGATCGAGGATGATGAGGACGATGATGAGGACCCAGAAGTGCTGTCAGAGTTTCCGTACAGCATGATTCCGAACGTTGTTCTGGAACCTGCAATGATGAGACACCTCCGGCTTATGAAGGTCAGGATGGAAGGGAACGTGGCTCAAGAAATACACATGAGGTACATCCAAGCTGTCCAGCCCTTTGACAAGTCCGAGGTCTCGGTGGCAGATGAGGCAACAACAAAAAGAGAGCTCGGTGCGATTACAGAGATATACCACGTTCGGTATGACGTGTGTCGAAACAATTGCATCTGCTACGTTGCCTTTCCAGCGGCTGACAAATGCCACATATGCAATGCAGAAAGAAGGGATAGTAATGGAAAACCGTACCGTACGTTTGACTATATACCTCTAATCCACAGACTGTTGCTACTCTATACAGACACTGTATACGTAAAGACTACGATGGAGTACAAGGAGTCCTTTGCAAACCAAGAAACGCCACAGAGCTCAGTGCGGGACTACTGGGACAGTCTTTTGTTCAACACAGTCAAGAATAACAGAGGCTTGTGGACCGATAGCAGAGACATCGGGTTCATATTCAGCACGGACGGCTTCTCTCTATTTAAGGCACACGCCCCTACTGCTGCCTGTTTTCAACTGAATCTATAGCTGACTCGTATGTTACAAATAATAAATAGATTGGGCAGTACGATGTCTGGCCGCTACTGCTAATCAACTGCAACCTGCCGCCGTCTGAGAGGGTCCTGAAAAAAAACCTAATTCTGTGCGGCATAATACCAGGGCCTGGTAATCCCAAGGACCTGGGGTCCTTCTTGAAGCCAATGATTGATGAATTCCTCACATTGCAGGTGGGGGTAAAGGCTTGGGATGGGCTGCGACGGGAGCCATTTATACTGCGCGCTAACATAGCCCTAGTGGCAGGAGATACGGTTGCAATGGCCAAGTTGATGAAATGGACTGGTCCTAATAGCTTCCGGTACTGTCGCTTCTGTGCCATCTATGGTATCAGCGAGGGACACATATATTGTCCCCTGGAACCCCCGCGTGACCGTGAGGATGCTCTGGAGGGGGAGGCTAGGCGCAAGGGGAGAAGGATTCCAAAGAGGAATGCAAATTTCCCCGAAAAGTCGTGGGATGCAGAGAATCTCCCGATTTGGACCGACGCACAAGTGCGCGAGAACCAGAAAATGGTGGAGGAGACAATGGACCTGCAATGGGGCAAGATGATGGGGACCAATGGAGAGCCTGTCTTTAGCTCCCTCATGTCGGTGGTGTACCCTTGGACGTTCACACCGGACGTGATGCATCTGGTTGATGAAAACACGCCTAGGTTATACCTGGCGCAATGGATGGGGGTGTTCCGGGACAGAGAACTAGCGCTCCGTGCAAAGATGGGCCAGGCGGAGGTTGATGCTTCGCAGGTTGCAGCATCGCATGCCCAACCCGAGGGCATGAGCCAGTCACAAGTGGAGGGGCAGCAAGAGTCTCAATTTAATAGCCAGACAAACACACATCAGGGTGGCTCTCAGAGCCAGACCCAGGGTGAGCGGAGGAAACGTCTCAAGGGCAGGCGGGGGGTTAGCTTCAATGCTGAAATAGAAGAGGACTACGTGGAGGATGCATTTATCTTACCCAAGAGAGTGTGGGACAAGATCGGGGAGGAAATTGCGGGCTCAAGGGCATCGATACCGAGTGCGTTTGGCAAGGCGTTCCGGGATATCAAGTACCACGCAAGCTACAAGGCTACAGAGCTGATGAACTTCATGCATCTGATATCGCCCATTGTGCTCAATCAACGGCTGCCTGCTGAGCACTACAGCCACTGGCACCACTTTGTACTAGCCAGTGAGAAGGCCCGGCGGTACCAACTAAGCATGGAGGATGTCGCTGAAATGGAGCGAGACATGGTTCAGGTTGTGACGGGGTATGAGCGTCTGTACTATCAGTACAAGCTCTCCAAGATCCGTGGCTGCACCACACAGGTGCATGGGCTGCTGCATCTGGGCATGGCCATGAAGGTCTGCGGCCCGAATCCGATATACCACCAGTACCCAATGGAGAGGACATGCGGAACGATCAAGGCAATGTGCCATAGCCGTTCGTCTGCTAACCGTAATCTTTCGCTGCAGCTGCTTGAACGGGAGAGGCTCAGGTACCTGCCTTTGATTGCTTTGGTAAGTATGGGAGAGTGTGAGAGCAGAGTGGCTGTGCTGTTGCTTACATGAACAGATGCCGCCTGGCTTTAGTGAGACCACCGATAGACGTCTGTTTGGACTGGGAGAGAAGGACAAGGTTGCTTATCCAGCAGAGTACCCGGACTGCCTCCTGATGGGCCCCAAGATCTCTCGCCGGTTGAATCAGTACGAGCGGAACCACCTGAAGGAGTTCTATGCTGATGTGATAGGTGTGCCAGTGAGGTCCATAGTGATTGTTAGGAATCCAATGCTGTTCAGCGGTACATTCAAGCTCTGGGGTAGAGCAGTTGCGGGAAGCGTGTTGAGCAATAGCAGCGAGTATGAGGTGGTAGGATCGGCCATCTCAAACGCAAAGCCTGGTGTCTCTTCATCCCGCAGGAATGACTCCTGGGTTAGGTACATATTAACCGGCGATGGGAACAGCGATATCTCATACTTTGGCAAAGTAATATTCTTCATGCCGTACGAGATACGCAACGACGAGAGGCCTGAGGACGAACCAGAGCGTTTTATGATAGCGTACATCCAGCAGGTGGAGGTGGGGAGGGTGAGGAAGCTGAAGTTGGCATACATAATCAACAGACAACAACGGGTTCTCAAGAAGTTTGTTGATCTATCTGATGTGCAGGAACTAATAGGGTGCATCAAGTCGCGCGGTAAGGAGTTTTTAGTGTCAAGGACGTCGTGCTTCTGGCCAAAGAAGGGTTTTGCTTGGCGGGAAATTATTGACAACGAGACACTTTTTAATGGTGCTAATGTGCAGTAATGCATAGTACTAATTAGGTACTAGCCGTCATTTCAAAGTTGTAGGTAAAGTTGTTGTGTCGTTTGGGTTGCGCAGGGGGCAGGCGCAGAGCCATTATATTGTAGCTAAAATTGTAGCCAAAATCGTCAGGAAACTCGTTCCCGCACAAAAATAAAGGTACGAAGGTTTTCTGGTAAAGTTGTTACTAAAGGTGTCTGTTTAATCGTAGGTTTAATCATTGATGTTCAAACAAAACAGGTTGCAGTGAAAAAGTGTTTGTAAAGTTGCCGACAAAGGTGTTTGTAAAGTTGTTGACAAAGTCATCAGTAAAATCGTTGTATGCAATTTAGTTGTTTGCCTGTATAATCGTTAGGAAACTCGTTGGTATATTCGTTGGTATATTCGTTTGCAGAATCTTATGTTTGGCCAAGTAATCAGTAAACTCGTTAGCAAAGTCGTAGGCAAAATTGTTCCAAGTGTTGTGTGATTTGGCCAAGTAATCAGTAAACTCGTTGGCAAAGTCGTAGGCAAAATTGTTCCAAGTGTTGTGTGATTTGGCCAAGTAATCAGTAAACTCGTTGGCAAAGTCGTAGGCAAAATTGTTCCGTATACTGTGTGGTTTGGCTTTGGTGTTGGTAAACTCGTTAGCAAAGTCGTAGGCAAAATTGTTCCAAGTGTTGTGTGATCTGGCTTTGGTGTTGGTAAACTCGTTAGCAAAGTCGTAGGCAATTTGGTTCACAGTGGGCGGGTGAAATGCAAACTCGTAGGCAATGTCGTTCCAGCTGTTCGCGCTCCTTGGTAAACTCCTTGGTAAACTCATTGGTAAACTCGTTGGTAAACTCGTTGACACTGCCTTTTCAAATGCTGTGCTGTATGGCTTAATAGTCGTGATAGTTTATATATAATCATTTCAGCTATTCGTGTTCTATGGTTTAATCGTCGGTTTAATCGTCGGTATAATCATCGGTATAATCGTCGGTATAATCATTCACAGAATACATGTGTGCCTTGGTGCTACAGCCTAACCGTACATGTAGCCGCCGATATAATCTCAGATATCATTATTACTATTATATAGAGTGGGCAATGAATGTCGTTGGCAATGTCGTTGGCAATGTCGTTCCAGCGCCTACCGCGCAGCAGGAAATGTGTCGGTAAAGGCGTTAGGCGGGTAAACTACCGCAGATACTAGTGGCTTGGCGAAATGAGACTGTGATGCATTATGGATGCATTTTGGGATGCAATAGCCACCCGCTTCCGGCGTGCTGCGCGGACATGACGCGTAGCGCAGCAGCATAATGCATTATGGATGCATTATGCGATGCATTTCTTGGGGTGGTAGAGATGGTTGTTGGTGGGCTACAATTCATGAACAACTCAATATAGTACGGTGCCAGTACTTTTCGAATGCGGCTGTACATTCCGGTTTTAAATTTTCCAGGCTTCGACGTATGCACATCCAGAATTCTAGCAGTCTTGTACGAGAAATATTTATGTATACGGGTACATGTAGTTCCTAAGCTGCCGACAGGTTTCATTACTTTACGGCCCACGCCAAGGGATGCATACATGTATATATTGGAGACATTCTACATATATTGAGCGCATCAATCTAGCGATTCAAATTCCATCTTAGAATACATTTTTACTGTTTAATTCCCCTTTACCGAAATAAACGAATATAATATTCCGTTTGTGCTCAAACGCAATCCATCTTATTTGGACCACAATTGATCATCGACTTCTATTTCAGTCTACCGGTACTCCCCAAGTGCACTCCCGCATGCTCATCATGATCACCGTTTCAACAAAGAATCCATAAAAAAAGCCTCAAATGTGGTTTATTTAAATATTGATATACGTCCAAGAACTATAAAGTAAAGTAGCAAGCAAAAACTTGGAATCGAATTGGCGTTACTAGTCATCATGAGCGATGTTGAATTATATGCCTCATACAGATAAGGTTCTGTTCGATATATTCAAATACAAAAGAAAGGCCTAGCTAGGCAGAAAGGCACAAGTTCGGTACAAAAGAAATCCATACAAAAGAAATCCACACGGCCGAAGGGCATAAGATCAATAGAAAAGAAAAGTACAAAAGTCCATAAAAACAGGCACCATCATGAGAAAATCATAAGATCGTCGCGATACAGAAGAAACAGACTGCCCGGACACCGGAACCAATCCGTCAGAGGCACAAGATCGATAAAAAAGAAAAGCACAGGATTCTTAAAAAAGGAAAACAAATAAAAAACGAAGAACCTCAAGAAGAAGAAGTGAAATTTAAAGATCAGATATCCAGAGCTACCGATGGTCGAACGTTGCGCGAGGTAAGAACTACTATAGGAATAGTTAAAGCCAGCCTGCTATATTCCCATGAATTATACGATGTTTCGAGTATGAGAGACATCAATCCACATCATCATGATCTTTCCAGACTGTTTCTACCTGTTAGCAGATGATATCATATGTAAGACAAGTCCTCTTGTCTTACATTTGTTGGGAATACGTTGTGGGAATAGAGATATATATATCTCCTGCCAAGTCTTCGCCGATTCCAAATCTAAATCATCGGCATCTTCATGACTGGAATCCATCTTTGGTGAATCAGAAACATTTGATTTAATGCAACTTTTTGTTTCCAGGTTTCTCTTTAGGGTGCCTGTCTTATATATCTTGGAGGAACGATCGCATAGATGGGGCCTAAGGTGTACTTTCTTGATATGATCCCTTTTAATTTTTAGGCGAGTTAGCAACTTATACCCATATTATATAAATTAGACTTAAATTAAATCTAGTACTTCACGTAACGGATATTATAATTATGCCATTCCCGGCAATCCGAATAAGATTGAGGATTATTCTTGTAATAAGGACAAGCAAATGCTCTCTTAAGTCTCTTAGTCGAAGGGCCCGAACACCCATCGTCTTGACTGCTCTCTAGCTCTCCCGACTCCGACTCCGACTCCAAGGCGGGGCGCTTCCTTGATCTCGCCTCCTCTTGTTTGCTTTCAGCTTTACCCCCCTCTTCATTGCTGTCCAGATTAGCATTCGCGAGATTTCTCAGGTCTATCCGGTTATTCATGTGGTTCATGCGCTTCATGCTAGAACTATGAATTCTCAGTACGGTTGTGTTCAAAAAAAAGCTGTCCCAGTGGTCGCTATATGGAAACTTAGGCCGGATAGCTGAATGGACCCGTTTTATTCTAGATTCCATCCGGTGATCATGAGTCGTCGTGGGGACACCTGTGAAGACATGCGTTTCAATTATCATAACTGATCAAAAGGCAAGAAGAACAAGACGAACAAACTGGGAGATATCGAACCTTTGAGGATAACAATATTATGTATACTGACAAAATCCATATTGATTACCATCAAGGTATGTAAGAGTGGCTTTACTTGGTGAGTTGACAGATTCGAAGCTGTTATATAAGTTTGACCTAGAACTATCGGTGGATACGTGGATATTTGAGATACTGTCAGTGACAGGTAGGCATTACACCAGAACTAAGCTGACCATGTATATTCCACTTCTAATAGATTAGGTTCGGCGCGCCAATACCCTGCTTTTCTTGGATGAATCTCTGACTTCTCCTTAAAATATATAATCATGTGACGACTTTTACAGAGAATTGTACCGTTGGCCACCACGTGGGTCTGAATTTAAGGGTGATATATTCATAGGCTGGCAAGGCTAGCTCATGGCAAGGCTGGCAAGGCTAGCTCATGGCAAGGCTGGCAAGACAGCTGGCTATCTCATTGATGTAATACGTACACATGTATGCACCTACACTGCCCGCTCATCACGTGATGATGTTCAGCTATCAGCGTAGTATACTTATACAGACTGATTGGTTCATACAATTTCACCAATTCTTAACCCCATGCTAGCTTAGAACTTTATCAGCCGAAGTGCATGATATATACTCCAACAAAGACTACATGTACGGCAAGAGGCCTTGCAACTTAACTGTGCTTTCAAGTTCGACTTCAAAGGTTTCTGCGAAGATATCTAGCTCGTCCTCCCCATACCCCCATCCCTACTCCCCACCCCCGCAGCGGGTATTGAGGGTTTGTCTTATAATCATCTTGGGTCTCAGTATTTCGAATTTAGGCTCTCTAAAAGCAAACTGAAATTACATATAGTAGGTAGAATCCTCCTATTTGAGGGTCTAACTAACTTGGGAGGACGTCGGATTATAGGGTGCGTGCTAGTGAGGTCGTTATAGGGAGATACAATCGCACCATCACCACGCTTCAAAAATTAACCAAACATAACCTCCAGAATTCGTTTCTAAGTTCGGATAACTTCAAACCTGGACCAAGAATTCTAAAATCTGAATTGCTCTCCGAAGGACCTCTTGGGTTTATATCTTGTATCACTATTCCTCCCGGTTCGTACTTTTTGGCAATCATATCTGGTATGGTGACTCAATTACCTAACAAATTCGGCGTCAAATAGAGTTTTGATCGCAAAGCTCTGTGATGTTGAGTCTCCATTGCCCTGGATCTCTCCGAGAACCTAATCCTGGAGGACGGCGAGATACGGAAAAAACAACGGATGAGAATGCTTCACGACATCCCAAGATAGCTACAGGAAATAATGAAATCGTCAGATCGGTGTCTGATCATGAGAAAGGAATGCTTTGTCCAAAGCTATCCAAAGTCTCCGAGTTCTCCCTTGAAGGTGGCGGCGGGTATAGTGGAGAAGTAGGAGATGAAAGACCTCGACTAGCTCGAGCTCTAGCCCTAGCCGCCAGCGCGCCTACGAAACGAAAGGAGGAATGCAGGAAGAATTCCCGAGTAAAACGGCAGGCATCTCAAGTTGATGATAGCGGAGAGGAAAGCCCGTCCGACCAACCCAGCAAAAAGAAGCGGCTACGAACAAAAAACCAAGATCCAAGTAAAGCTTCTCTGCAGCCCTTTGCCTGTCCCTCTTTCCGACACAACAAAATTCAGAACGCGGAATGTGGATCTTGGCGTAACGTCAAGCTTTCTATGGTCAAGTATGATTTTCATTCCGAGCATATTACCACCAAGAAATTTGAGATTGGGGGGACTGGCTTCAATACAGCGCCACGGTTTGGGCTTTAAACCCTCATGGGCCCCATTAAGAACTATAAGGCTTTATGGCCTGACAAACTATATACCTGTCAAAACAACAGCCCCGGTTTGCTTTTATGTAAATATTAGCTAATTCACATGCAAAATAGGCAGCACTGTGTAGAGAAACACGTGAAGCCACTACGATGTGGTCGGTGTAGGATATTCAAGGCTGGCACGTCAGATGAAATCACCAAGCACCTGCAGGAGGGCGACTGCCAGAAATCCTATGCTCCGGACCCGTCGGAAAAATATGCTACTGGAAAGGTCAGCGAGATAGAAAAAGCAAAAACTTGGGAAAGAATCTACGAAGTATTACATCCGCAGGTTATACCAGACCCGTGTAAGTAATCATATGCGGCCATCATAATATATAGATGTTTTGTCTAAGATAGTGAGAATAGTTTATAACGAACAAGCTCAAGGCAATATCACCAATCATCGCATCGACAATCCATCTCTTGATGCTATCCCCGCTGAATATGAAAATACTATCACCTCGTCCCAGGGATTCGATTGGCCTGGAGAAGATTTATATTTACTCCAAGGTATCGCCTTTCCGGTGAGAAATCACGCCCCCAACAGCCCATACCCTCAATGCCAGTTCCAGAGCAGCGTTTCGAACCAGAATTCTAACGATTCAGGATGTCAGCCGTTGGAGTACTGGAGCATGGAGCGAGAATAAAGAACCCCACCACGAGCGGAAAATGCACCAGTAAATGCGCCAATTTTGTGTATATAAATTCGTCGGTATATGCATCATTATCAGTTTTGTTTTATGATATGAATTCCTTTTGTATGGCGATTTCTTTTTCTTTTGTTCGAAGAAACATTCCAATTTTTTAGCGATTTCTTTTTTTTTTCTTTTTTTTTTTGTACGGAGAAATATTTCATTAGCATGTATGGCGATTTCTTTCTTCCTTTCTTTCTTTCTTTCTTTCTTTTTTTATTTTTTAGCATGGGATAAATTGGAACGAAGAAATGTATATATGTTTCATTTTGTTTTATAGGAAAAGGAAAAGGGGAAGGGGAAGGGGAAGGGGAAGGGGAAAGGAAAGGGTTCCGCAAATACAGAGATCTGATTTATGTCCTGAGATATTAACAGATACATTAGGGATATTCACTTCTAGAAATATGTGGTTACAACGCCGCTTATATGGCACTAAAATTTTCAAAAATCTGAATACCTCTGGAGTGCACATGCCATATTGTGGGGGTAAATCTGCTACTATATTAATCTGAGATTTGTGCGTAGTGTACTACATAGTCAATCACTTTTATATGGTACACATATATGGTCACTATCCTGGAGAATAAGGTAGGTTGATGATGTTTATTTTCTTCTCATATATATTTCAGAATACGCGGCTACCGATTATTTTAAGCGGTTCATATAAGCGCATGCGTATGCCTATAAGAGTGCGTATTTGAAGAAGTGAATACAAGTACCCCTAGAGACTGAAGTCTAAACATCGAGCAGCTCATTAGCCTTTTCACCATTTACAGTCTTGCTCCCGCTAGCCTTGTACTATACTTGTCGCTACGAGCCTCACCAGTACTAGTACATACGTAGTACAAGTACATGTAGGTACTCTACCCCGATATAGTACTGTAGAGCCTCAGATGTACCCACATACGTACATGTTATGCAAGGACGTGGCAAAAAACCATCACATGACCATATCCTCGGTCGATATCAGGTGGGAGGCTTCTCAACGAAAGGTGTAAAGTACGTGTATCTACTATATTGAGGACGTCATACCCCCGAGCTCGCACATCAAAAGATTCCGCACGTACGAGGAAACGGTCCATAAATATATATTTCATTCAAGACATGCTAACTCCAGCAACACCAGCAGCTAGAGACTATAGCTGCAAGCTGGAGCTGTTCAAAGGGGTTCCGAACGATATACCATACACTACCTCAGAGGGCCCTATTAATGGTTCAGCTTTGGTGACAGCTTCACCACATTTTTCACGGAACATGAATGTTAAAATCGTTCACTATGGAATAGGTACCTTTGTTCTGAATCTCCTCTAATCCGTGGCCGCCTGTATCTACATACATATGTATATCCCCTCTCCTTGGCCAACCGAGCAGTACCTAGTACTTGTACGTTAATACATACGTATACACCCGACAAGTCAACACCTATGACCCTTCCCTGTGAGGAGCCTTCCTACATATCAAAGGCCTTTCTTTCTTATTCGTCGCCTATAACCTCTATGAGAAATCTCCAGAACCTTTCAAGTTGATTTTGTTTTGGCGGCTTATTGTTCATGGTCTTTAGGCGCCGAGTACCAAAATACCCCGCCTAGATATACAGCGCCCAAAAGTTCTCGAGTGGTAGCAGCACCACCTTCAACAGACGGCCCATCACCAGTTGCGCGATCGCAAGGCGATAAGACGTCCAACGATGAAAATCCTGTTGGCATCTGGCACAAAGGCTGCTCGTTACGAGTTTCTCATTCTGCGGACAACGCAGAGCTGGGATGTATTACCGAGGACGGAGTGAAAGCTGAACGTGGATATGAGGACGAAGATGACGATGAAGATTTAGATCAAGACGAGGACGATGATTTGATGGAAGCATGTTTAAATGGTACCGACAGCCGTTTTGATCCCCGAATATTGTCTACATCGCTAGATTCCGATAATATTCAAAGTCATGTTTCTGGTCGTGGGGAGAAGGGGAAAGGCAAATTACCTACCCCCCGGAAACGTTCAGCGCCGCTAGGATTTTCAGCAAACACGCAGGACGATATCCAAGACGATGACGAGTCCGCTGGAAAACCGTCCAAGAGACCGAAAGAGCATAAAGGGGCGAAAGATGCGCTGCACCATCAATCAAAAAGGCCGTTTGCCTGCCCCTACTTCAAAAAGAACCCTTTAAAATATGTCGGTTGTGCCGACTGGCGTAATACTAAACTCTCCCTAGTGAAGTATGGTTTAACGCCTCCCCAGACATATGTCAGTTTTTTTTCTAACATTTAATGACAAATAAAAGAACGCATTGTATATCGGAGCACCTAAAGTCCCGATGTCCACGATGCAAGGTCTACAGGGGTGTTCAATCAGAAATCATTAGACACTTAGAAGATGAGGATTGCGAGAAGCCAGAGACCTACGATCCATCTGAGGAAAAGACAACCGAAGAAAAGGTCCAGGAATTGAACAAGGCAAAAACATGGAGAAGGATTTACGAGATATTGTTCCCTCTATACATACCAGATCAATGTAAGTCCACATCATCGAACTCAGTTTACGTACTATACCTGAGATAGAGAGGAACAGTCTGGCAGAACACTATTGAAGCTTTGGTTGCCCCCAACGACGAAGACGAGTTATCTTTCATGGATAGAGTTCAACTTGCCGTTTCAATCAGGGAGCAGACGTATAGAGTGGCAATATCAGAGTTCTTGAGGGAACGTGCAGGTGCTGGAGTCGTAGACGAACTCTTGGACCAATTCGATAAAGTTTTGGAATCAAAAACCTGGAATCAGGATTCGCTTGATGATTTAAATAACTCTAGGGCTGTAACACACGACACTCAAATTCATGGGAGTCTACCAAGTACCTCGAGTTTAATCCATGACTCCACAACCATGAAATATGAGCCCCAGTCAAAACCACCCACAAGCGCCGGTAAAGACAATACTGAACAGCACCTTCATAGCATAACTAGTCTCAATCATTTCCCGAACCAATGCCAGTACTCGGTCGAGCATCTAATACCAACCCAAGATTCCGGCAACTCGCGAGTTGATATTTCGAGTTTTTCAGAGTTCCAACCAGATCTGCTCGGTCAGAGCTTCGCCAACGATCCTAGCTCACAAGACATGCATGATTATGTGAATGTTGATGACGATATGTTTGAATACGGGGGGGAGGAAGGATTTGAAGAAATTGGGGAAGATTTTCTTGAGCCGGGTGGAATGGGCTATTCGCTGTAAAGGTGTACGATTGGTGATACGTAGATTTAAAGAGATAGAGCATATGTATGATTCAGAAATCTTAGCAGGCCGTGTTTGTTTCCTTCAAACAACACATAAATGATCTTTCGAGGTGTTCAACGGGACTGAACGTCTGAAATGTGTAACTTGGTGCCTTTTAAATACTGAATTGCCATCATTTCAACCATGCGACATGTACTTTTCCAGGCCGCTTTCACTACATGTAGGGAAGAGGCCAATAGAGCACATGATGTTATGAGTTCAAACTAGAAGTCATTGCGCAATCCTTTCTTCACATGCACAGGAGCCAACCACGGATAGGGCCAGTTGTGCCAAGATATGATAAGACAGGATCATCGTTGGCCGCGCAAACATTTGGATTATCGATTGTGCACAGACAATCTTGACTTAGGAAGCTTTTTTAGCCCCAGGGGTCTGTGTGTTAATGTCACTAGCCGGTTGTGGCTAAGACAAACCTTATTTCAACCTCTCGATGCTAGTTTAAGTCTAGCCAGGTGAATACAGCGAAAGCTTGCTATAACGGTACGCTCGGGACCGGAATTTGGTACCGTTATAGAGAGATTGCCCTTATATAAGAGGTGATTGTGCTGAAATCCGGGCAAAAATGACCGTGAAGTGCTACCGTTATAGAGAGATTACCCTTATAGAAGGTACCGTTATAGCAAGCTTTTGCTGTACTAGCTCATACTCTACGCACATGTACATAAAGAACATACATGTGGCGATGATTGACAAGTACTAAGAACATACATGTATTGATTTTCTTATACAGGTCGTGACCAAAAAATAATACTACAAATACAAATTTCCAAAACAAGAGTACATAAACCTATCCACCCAATTCTTGCCAACGATCCTTTCTCCATTAACCAAGTATACCAAGAGCGACTCAAACAAAAGGACGTAGACTTGGAATCATCTGAGGCTCGGGGTAGAGAAAACGAAGCTAGAAAACGAAGCTTTAAGACGTACGTCTTTCATCTGCCAATAGAGCCTAGGAGGATTGTTGCTGTTGATACTACTTATTTGCTTCCGCAAGTACCCAACCCCAATGCGTAGCTTACTCGGCACTGTATGGCGAATCAATAGTGGCTAATATCAGTCAATACTGAATCTTATACCCCCTATTGATACACTTATTACCAATTACAAGGTTACATTCACGACCGTTCAGCTCGGGACCCACCACCAGCGCAGCTCCGAGGGACAAAGCTCGATAGATTCCGTTCCCCAACCGCTGCCAGAACTAGATGCATTCAGAGGACATATATACCCACACCAGTTCTAGACTCTCGTGATTCTATTAGCAAAACGCAAACTCTCCAACTCACGTGTGGGCTGTTTTCTGGCATCATAGTAGAAGGACTAGGGTCAGTCAAGAGCCACAGTACCCGGAGACTATGCGTCTTTACTGGCATATATCAAAGAATAGAGCCATCCCTCTTTGCTCCACAAGATATTGGACCTGTCTTGCCATTCCATAAGTTCTGTCTTGTGATATCTATACCTGTTCATACAATTAATGAAGTAATTAATCAATCAATCAAATCTATACCTGTTCGGGGTTCTGCGTGAGTGATACGCTGTGATTCTACCAAAGCACATCTTTCATTTTCGTCTGCTCTCCACCTAGCGGGACTCAGGAAGAAGCGTCGCACTCAAATTCTAACACAAAAATCGAATTTTAAACTGTGTGGTCCACAAGCCGAT